AAAGAACCTGTAGGAAGAAAGAAAAAGAAAAAAAATGAACTGAAAAGAAAAGAAAGAAAAGGAAGAAAAGAACCCATGAGTATTCTGTTTTATAGAAGAGTGTGTCCCTTCTGCTATAGATTCTTCATTCATAGACTCAAACCACTGTAGACAGAAAATACATTTTAAGAATTATTTTCACTTTTATTTATATTTCCTTGCAGTGCTTAGCCTCACAGCCTAAGCAAGAATTCAGATTGCCAGTCAGAGGGGGTTTTGGGTGACCCCTCTTTTATTGGTTTAGGGGTGGAAGTCCCATCTTTTAGGTTGGGTGGAGATGGGTTTTGGGAATACCCTGGATAAAGTAACAACCTCATTTTGAGTCTCATGGTCCTCCATAGCTAACTTATGATAATGTATCTGGATAGGTTTTGCTATCAAATTATCTATCTGTTGTTTCACAAAGTTACTCAGTCTATATAAGGCCCAGGGACCAAAAGAAATAGGCAAAAATTACCCAATTAATGGTCCCAAGATGGGAGGAAGTAGGGTTGACAACCATGGAGAGGTTGAAAATCAGTTCTTTTGCCAGCTCTCATCTTTCTCTTTCTCTCTCTCTGTCTTTTCTCAATGCATTCTCTGACCTTTTTCATGCTCTCTTTAACCATCCCTGTCTTGTCTATGTAAAGGTAACATTCTTCTTTAAGGGCTGTACACAGTCAAGAGTTGTAGACAGTGTTTTCTATTGTAAAAGAGTAAATCAAGTCCAGTAAAGTCCTTTGCAATTTTTGGAGGTCTCTTCAGACATCAAAACAAGAATATCTCTCTGGGTTCCCTGAGGGACAAGCCTGACTGCATAGGGGTTGATGTCAAAAGTATCCCTTCTCCAGGAAAAAGACATCGGGGTGGGTATGGCTCTCATGTCTCACTGGACAACCACAGTGGGACCAGAGTCATTACAAAGTCTCCTTCAATTACTGAAGGTCAGGCCTCTATCCCCACGTTCCCAAGATTAGAATTGCCACAGCCCTTATATACTTAGAGAAGGGTTGGAGATGTCAGGGGCAGCCCTGCTTATACACTGAAGGCCTAAAATCAGCCATAGGCCTATAATCAGCTATAGGCCTGTCATACATGTATACTAACATCAAGTCTTGGGTCTCAGTGGAAAAACATTGAAACAGATTGTTATAAGCTATTGTAAACAGGTAGCTTTTGTGGAAATTTACCAACCTGAGTAGTCATAGACCTTGTAAATATTTAGCTTTGGCAGATAATACCAATTTATATAAGGACAAATGAATCATAGGCAGAGTCATAGTGACCTGTCCCCTGAACCTTTACCCAGCAGATACCCTGTTCTGAGAGATATCTGTATTCCCCCTGAACACTCATGCTCTAGTGTCATCCCCTACCTCCTTCCCCACGTCCTGCCTTTTTGTGTTTATAACCCCTGTGTGAATAAGTAAAAATTATGATTCGATTAAAAAAATTAGAAAATAAATATATGCACAAAAAGAATTATTTTCATACTAGAAAAGCACAGTTTTTTTCCTTACCAATATTCCCTAAAAATATATAAAAACTATTTGAATGCTATCAACTCTATGGTAGGCAATTCAATAATCTCGTAGAGTTGACAGAAGAGATATACAGATTCTATGTAAACTATATGCCATTTATAGGAAAGATCAGGACATTTCTACATTTTAGTATGGGTAGTAGATCTGAAATTAAACAAAAACAAATACATGGGCCAAGTGTTCCCCTGAATGATTTATTCAATTGAAATTTCCATTAATATGTTAATTGGTTCATAAGTAGTTCAGAGGTTAATGAACTAATGATCAAGCCAATAAACAGAGAGTCTGTGATTTTAGTGGGTAACATGATCAGTGGAATGTTCTGGAGAAGAAAGAACAGGAGTACTTCAGCATGAATGAGTGAGGTACATATGTTATCTCTGGTCACTTCTGTACAGAGTGCTGGAATCAGAGTCTCTCTCTCTCCCTCTCTCTCTCTCTCTCTCTCTCTCTCTCTCTCTCTCTCTCTCCTCTCTCTCTCTCTCCTCTCTCTCTCTGTCTCTCTCTGTCTCTCTGTCTCTGTCTCTCTCTCTCTGTCTCTCTCTCTCCTCTTCTTTTTATTTCAAACATAACTATCTAAAAATTTGACACAACTCTCTAAAGTTGGCACATTACAGTAATAATCTTTCCTCTTGTTTGTTAACTGAATAGTATCTAGTGTCAAGACTGGGTTATATAAAGAAGAAGAAGGCCCAATTTAAATCGGGGCAGTACAATTTTCTGGACTAGGGTCCCAGGTTGAATAAAAAGAAGAAAGCAAAATGAGCAGCAGTATCTATCTTTCTCTGTCTTCTTACTGTGGAACAGTGTGACCAGCTGACTCAATTTCCTGGCTCCATGCCTTTCTGTCATGATGAACTTTACTTTTAACTATATGCTAGATAGACCATTCCTGAATTTCCTTTTGTCTACATGAAGAAATTTGTCTTCCTGAAACTTCCAGCAAATGTCTACTGAAACAGAATTAAATAGATTGAGGACCATATCACTCACAAGGATCTGTTCTTCGTCCAGGAAAAAATGATAGATTTATTCATTTACCTCTAAAATGCTATAATAAAATTCACTTCCAAGAATTGTGGGAGACCAATTAAGAAAGAAATTGACATCCAACCTTCACTCAACTTTATCTGACTTTTTTCACATGAAGAGTTTGGGATGAAGAAGGTATCTAAAGGAACATCCTTCTGCAACCAAGAAATTTTGTGTTCAGCACTCATGATCCATATGGAAGAAGATGCACAGAGTTCTTATTTTTCTCCTGAAATGCTGTGTGTGTGTGTGTGTGTGTGTGTGTGTATGTCTGTGTGTGTGTGTTTATACGAACATGTGTACATTTGTACATCAATAAATGGAATGGAACCCAGTGGATTAATTTGGATACCATTACACCAATATTACTTGTCTATTCTTGAGTTTCTTTTTAAACAATGGTTTTCAACCTTGCTAATGCTATAGTCCTTTAATATAGTTCCTCATGTTATAGTAATCCCTAACCATAAAATTATTTTTACTACTACTTCTTAACTGTAATTTTGCTACTGTTATGAATTGTAATATAAATATCTGTGTTTCAAATAATGTTAGGCAACCTCCATGAAAGGTCCATTCAATCCACAAAGAGGTCTCAACCCACAGGTTGAGAATTGCTGTCTTAGATGGTCTATCACCTGGAACTTCTGATGAACTACCTGCCTCTACCTCACAAGTTCAGAGAAATCAAGATTCTATCACCATGCAAAGTTTTTTAAGTAATTTATCTATGTGAACACTGGGTACTTAATTCATGTCTCCATGCTTGTGTGGCAGACCCTTTACTGACTATCTCATCTACTCATCCATTGCTTACTTTTCTGAAATAAGGTTTTGACTAGAACTTAAGTATCATTGAACTGGTCTCTGACAGTTACAATTTCAACAATGAAAGAAAATACTGTACCCAAAGAAATTGTAACTTGTGTGAGAGAAGCATCACAGGGATTCTCAGCAACAGTTAAGAATCATTAGATGAGAAGAGAGAGAAACAGTGCAGAAAATAAAATGGCAAGTTGATGAAATTCAGCTAAGACCTGAAAAGTGAATGGATATGCTGTGTTTATAACTGAACTGTGAAAACTGATAATGTTTTCTGAAGGTCAGAGATGATGTAGCCATAATAGACATGTGAACATAGATATTTCCTTGCAGGAATGAGCTAGTATAGGAGAACGCTGAACCCATTGAATTCAATGGACTTACATTTGACTTCTGTTTGCTAGTTGGTAGATGTGTATGACCTTAAAAACAATCTTTTAAGTGTTTTATAGTGTTTTCTCTTTACTTTAATATTAAGTCTTCTGTAAAGGCATGTCTCATCTTCAAAGCAAATATTCTTACATAATATTAAGATTGTTGTTAGAATTATATGGTCAGTAAGTCAAAATCAGTAAGTATAATAAAAATATTAAGCTATTGTTAGAGTCACTAATTGGTGGTAAGGTCATTAAACATTGGTGGAGACAAAGGAAACATCCATATAATTATACTCTAATTTCTCCAGGCCTGTCCCCAACATGTGTATTATAAAAACCTGTCAATCAGAGGTGATGGCTTGGTAGTAAAGTGATTACCTTAAACTGGGACAACCTGAATTGATCCCAACAACCTAGATTAAAAAGCTGGGTCTTGTTATAAAGGCTTTTGGTTCTAGCACTGGGGAGGGATGCAATGACAAGCAGATCCAACCATCCAGTTGTGCCTACTTCATGAGTTGCAGTAACAGTCTAGAGACATAGCAAAAAAAAAAAAAAAAAAAAAAAAAAGTCAAGGCAGGTGGAATCTGAGGAATGACAGTGAAAGTTATCTTATGCATAAAGATATACATGGCCACTCACAAACACAGGAGCATCTACACACATATATACACACTTTCATAAACACATACATAGACACCTACAAATACAAGAACATCTATACACTCCTACACATGCATACACAACAGTGGTGTGGAGAGAAAAAGAAAAACTGACTAAATCCAAATCTCAGACTATATTGCATGTCTTGCTAAGAATGTAAGATTTAAAATAGAAGGAGATGTTGGCACAAACCTCACAATTACTTCTCAACATCTAAGAGCAGACTTGTTACATTTTAAAAATTTTATTCTTTGTATACGTGTTTATGTTTATGAACCGTGTGCACACAGTGCTCACAGAGGAAATAAGAGGATCTTTTGGAATTAAGGACAGTTATCACTCAACACATGGATACTAATACACAAATCCTGATCCTCTAGATGACCATCAATTGCTCTTATAGGATTCCAGGCTCTTTTATTACTTTTTCAAATGTAGCTCTAATTCCCATTGAATTTAGAGTCTGCATGTTTTTCTCTTAGTAGCAATTCTGTGTATGAGTTTATATTCACTACCACTATAGGAAAACTAAAGTTCTCTTTACCATTCATCTGTGTCAGCATCACAATTGCAAAAGTGTCGACTGTCGAGGCAGCTCTCCTCCAGCCCACATCCACACTGCTGGACTCCAGGAACAGAACCTCCCCAGTAGGGGTCCCTTTCATTGGACCTCCCAATCAACCAGGTGAGTGGGGCTCCATCTGAAAGACAAGGTGTTTCATAAGTCAGGAGTGCATTCTGAAAGGCTACAGGGGAGTTTACAGTGGTGTGTGTGTGTATGTGTGTGTGTGTGTGTGTGTGTGTGTGTGTGTATACATGTACGGTTTCTCTTCTTCTCCCTGCCCCTTTCTTTTCCATAGATTCTGAATTCCATTTTATCTCTTCTCCTTTATCCCTTTTAATTCTCTATATGTTTTAATGTACATACTTGTCAGGAGCCATAATAGGACAAGCTAATAATTAGCAGTTGATCATCCTGAAATGGTTGCCTTGGATTATTATCTGCGACAAGTGTGCCACATCAGCAAGGCTATGCTGGACATATGTTAGGAAAGATCCTGCTCTTAATATGCTTTTCCTATTATTATTATTTATTATTATTATTATTATTAAACATACATAACAATCACTAAGCAAGAGCACTCCCCTTTGGAGCAGATCTCTGCAGACCCACGAAGATGTACTGTCTTGTAGTGATGCTATATAGACAAATATATGACTTCTTAAGTCTTAATGATGATCCTATAAGAATTCCTAAAATTATATCAATGACTGTTTAGCTCTTTTTATAGTGGGACTGGTGTTATGTCCCTTTCTGATAGTCAAAACTGCTATGAGAACTCTCCCAGTCTCCGAAGTGTCATCAGTTAACAGTCCCTAGATAGTAACCAGACTCTCTCCTGCTCAGAGCACATTCCAAGGTAGTTGTAAAACAATTAACCATAGGTCACTAAAAGGGAACTCATGATTTATTATAGGTGCTAGGACAGAAGAGAAAATATTGCCTGGGTTTATCTATAAAAAACTTCACTAATTTCTTAGTTATGGATTTAAACCTTGAGTGAACCTGTGAAGCTAGACAGGTCAGATAATGTTTAGTCAGATAATTACTCCCAATGGATATGCATGTAAACATTTTCTGTTGTAAATTTCTATTTCAATTTATGGTTTGAATTTTGGTGTGAATTTGTGATGAACTTTGTAACATGTGATCAGGTACTCTGAATGATGTATAAGACAAAGGGACGTTCGTTAGCAACTCACTTTCCCTTTCTCACTCACTCACTTCTCTTCACTTCACTTTCTCTCTCTCTCTCTCTCTCTCTCTCTCTCTCTCTCTCTCTCTCTCTCCTCTCTTCTTTCATCCCTGCTTAGATTCTCTCCACTCAGAATTTTTCCATTGTTAGAATTTTTTACCTTTCCCTACTTTGTCTCTCAGCTAGCTTTCATAGGAAACATTTTATACTTAGTAATAAACTACAATAACTTCTTTAAGTGTCTTTTCTTCCTGTGACCTCAAATCAACAGACCTAAGTTAGAGCCTGGCAGTACCTGCAGAGTGAGTACTAAGGATATTTGCCTAAGTCTCTGCTGTCCCTGGGCTGAGGTGTTAAGTGCCAGAAACTGCAGTTTCTGAACAGAGGATACCAGAGGACAGGCCAGCTAACCCTAGGTCTTATCCACTGCCTATGCTCTTCCCATCCGCCTCGGCTGCCTCAAGAAGAATTGACCGGAAGAGAAGAAAGAATTCCACTTCTCCTCCCACCAAGGCAGGTACAGCTCCCAGCACATACTTACACACACATACAGGTGTGTATGTAAAAAAATAGTTTTATTAATTAGAATGTTGTTAAACACTGGTAAAGGATACCATTAACCATCAGGGACATATACTCAAATTCATAATAGATTAGACAAAATTATAATAAATTTATTTAGATCAGTTTACATTTTTTAAATTTTACTTTATGTGTAACTGCAAAAGTTACAGTTTAAATAGTACATAATAGAATGATTTCATATAGTTTTGGGCAGAGAAAAGGGAAATATTCTTTTTTTTTTAAAGTCTCTCTCTTCAGAAAAAGTATTTAAAAGTCACTTTAAGTTGCTAAATGGCACATGTGTTTTTAGTGACTAGTTCTGTTTGTACTAACAGTCAATGGGATTAAAAAGAAAACTGAACTTTTCAAACCATTTCTGCAATTGTATAACAAATTTTTTGAACTTTTCAAATGCCAAAATTGCAATGAAGTTCATACTAGAAAAAAAAGATCTGTGTATCACTTCTCCTGTGTCTGTTCTTTCTTGTCATCTTAATCACAATAAGGTACTCTCCCTTGGTCTTCTTTCTAAATTTTAAATCAGCTTTTAAACAAACAAACAAACAACACACACACGCCTCCATGTACATGTGGATAGAACAATGTCTCTTCAAAATTATTCAAAATAAATATGACAGTAAAGACCAAAATGACCTAAATATGTGTTCTTTTTGATAGACAGTAAAAAGGATAGAAATTCAGGTTAAATTAAATTTAAGCACATGTAAAAGGGATCTTGACAAATTTCCCACTGACTTTTTTTTGTCATATCAATTCCAGAAGCAAAGCAACGTTGTGCTCTAAAAGAAGTCATGAACTCTCAAGTTCATATACTTACAGAGAAAGGACCCTGAGATGATCATACTCTGGTGAGTCGGGGTAAGCATTCCCTTATTAAGGTTCATTCAGAAAGAAGCGGGAAATGAATAACTAGCTTAGGGGCCTGACTTCATTATTACTTTTATATTGTCTTTAAGGATTGTGAATATTGCAGTAGCTTATAGCTCCCATTCAGAAAATGATAATATATCTGAAACAAGAGCCAACACAAATATGGAAACCCTGGACAGAATCAGCTGAACATACCAGACCTAGTTTCCCTTTGCAATGGCTGTCTTCTTTTTTGCTTAGTACATGCCAGACACTTAAAATAAAATAAAAATAGTACTGACTCTTTTGTTCATTTGCAAGATTTAATATTCTATTGTTCAACTAGGCAAGAATTTGTTGTATTGGGAAATCCTTATTTTTCATATTTTCTATCTACATATACAACCCACCCACTTTTTCTGATTTTCTCATACAGCTAAATTTTCCAGATGACTTTGAGGCAAACAGGCAGAGAAAAGATATTCAGAAGTCCAATGCTATGAGCCGTGAAAAAATGGGGGAAGCTTTTTATGATAAGCACAGTTATTCTGGGGTGCTAATTCCTAAGAAGAGCTGGAAAAGTCCACCTTCATCCTCCCACTACATCTGCACTACATTGTACTTTTTTATTACTATCTTCCTGCTTAGAGTTCCACATGTAGATAATCTGCTATCTAGTACTCTTCTCTTTAGGTTATCATTAAATGACACAAACATCTCCCAATCTCAAGTAACTCAGTCACCTTTAAAATCTTCAGATGAATTGCCTTTTTAATAAATCCCTGGCTAGACAAACCACACGAGAAGAGCCTAGATGGCTGACAGGTGACTTTATTTTAACTGCAGACAAAGAAAGAACAAGGAAGAATACAAAAGAAAAGCATTTAAATATATTCAATTTAAGGATGTGTATGAAAGTTGAAGACTCATTTTTTTCCTACCAGATAACTCCTTTATTTCATCATAATTGCAAAATAATGAAAAAAATAAAAAAAATGAGGAGACTGAGAACTACAAACAATACATGATTGGATCAGTGGGCAACTTGTAGGAGTCTGTAATGTCCTACTATATGGATTCCAGGGATCTCACTCAGGTTAAGAGACTTATTTGCAGCCCTTTATCCACTGAGCCATCTCACCAATCCTCAAATTACATTTTATGGTACCTGGATCCCATGGATTCTAAAAATCTGGAGAGTCCAACATCCCTTATACAATGTAGCTTAGAATTATTACAAACCTCATATCCTTCTCTCTAGCAGTTGAAATCATCTCCAGATAATTTGTAAGATGCAATGCAGATATAAATGTAAAATAAACAGCTATCATACAATAGTTTGAGGAAATGAACACATATTTTAAAGCATAAACACATTGAATACAAATACATTAAAGCATATAATTTTGAAACATAGTCGAATGAACTTGAATGAAGGATATATATGCAAGTGGAAAATGGTATGTAACAGATGATTTATCTTTCTGTATACAGTATTCTAGTTGTTCTCCTAAGGACAGTAAGAGAATCTACAGCTCATGGGATGCCCCATGAGATCTTAAAGTAGTGGTTCTCAAACTGTGAGTTATGACCCCTTTTCAGGGTCAAAGATCCTGGCACATGAGTATTGTATCATACATCTTGCATATTATATATTTACATTACAATTCATAGCTGTAGCAAATTTACATTTGTCAAGTAAGAACAAAAATAATTTTATGGTTGAGTGTCATCACAGCATGAACTGTATAAAAGAGTCACAGCCTAGGAACATTGAAAATGCTGCCTTATTCACACTTGACTGTCACAGTAACTCAGTATTATTTTATCCCACATGAGTTCAAACAGCAGCCTCCATCTAGACTGGAATCTTAGAACACTCTTTCATACTCTCTCATAAGTGTTCTTCCCACTAGCTATACTTTGCTCAAACCTCTCCTCAGGGCTTGACAGCAAATGACACTGTTGACTGTCTGGATCCTGAAATTAAATCACATGCTTTTTTTTTTTTATTGGTCCTGAACTGCTGCAAAACCACTTTCTTATAATCTTAAGTGTACTGGTTTTCTCATGAAGCAATTTGTCTTTTTTACTTCACTTTAAATTTGTGCATCTTTGTGTTTATGCATATGATTGCAGGGTGCCAGCTGAGGACAAAAGTGTGCAAAATATAGGTAGGTACCTGAGTTGGACAGGACAAAGCAAATTTGGTACTTCTGCGAGGTTATTGTATGCTGCTTAGTAGTGAACCACATTTCAGCATCAAAAACCCATGCTTTACTTACTTTTCTTTTCTCAGTTGACTTAGGATAAAACTTTCATGGCTTATGCATAATTATTACACCATACATAGGATAGGGCTTGATAGCATGTGGAAATAAAATATATATTTGTATAAAGAAGAAATAACCTGCCACTGAGGAGACAGCTATGAGGTTAAGAGCACTTTTTGCTTTTCCAATTGGCCTATATTTGATTTCCAGCATCCACCATGGGAGATATAGCCACCT